ATCTTGAGTATATGGCCAGATTTACCTCAAATGAGCTTGGAATAAGAAGAGAACCTATGCAAAGCTATAGAAGATAAAGTTATCTATCTACCATCTATCTATCATCCATCATCTATCATCTATCTATCTATCTATCTATCTCTCTGTCTATCTATCATCTAATCTATCATCTATCCATCCATCCATCATCTATCTATCTATCTATCTATCTATCTATCATCTATCCATCCATCCATCATCTATCCATCCATCCATCATCTATCTATCCATCCATCCATCCATCTATCATCTATCTATCATCTTCTATCTATCTATCATCTATCCATCCATCCATCATCTATCCATCCATCCATCATCTATCTATCCATCCATCCATCCATCTATCATCTATCTATCATCTATCTATCTATCTATCTATCTATCTATCTATCTATCTATCTATCTATCTATCATCTATCCACCATCTATCTATCTACATTTCCTACAATGTAGAGAAACATAATTATATTTACAGCTAATTACAGTTAGTGGTTTAAAAAAACCCAGTTTCTCACCCCCCTCACTCCACTAGGGATTGAACCTGGGACCTTGCACATACTGAGCAAGAGCTCTACCTCTGAACTATATCCCTAGACCATACATCTACTTACTCTTTTTAAATTTGGGGATTCACTGCAATCTGGAGCAAAGGTCGTGACAATATTCCTATAATTTTAGAAACTATCAAAAAGTTCACTCTTAAGCTTATGATGTTGAATCAGGGAATGGAGAGATGGCTCAGTAGTTAAGAGCACTAGGGTTTGATTTCCAGTGCTCACATGGTGGCTAACAACTGTCTGTAACTCCACTTCCAGTGGAATCTGACACCCTCTTCTGACCCCTGAGGGCATTGCATGACACGGGTGCACTTATACACATGCAGTCAATTCATTCATATACACAAAATGAATAAATAAAAGTTTTTAAAAAGATGTTGAATTATAAATACAAAGAGCAACAAAGTGATACCCATGTGGAAGATGAAAATATTATGAAAACCCACATGAAACTTTCAAAATGTGTCCATTATATTAAAGTCCCTAGGCAAGAGATCAACATTATTAAATCTCTTGCCTGTAGTTTGTATGAAGGAGTTCCTGTCAACTTAACATTTCCTTTTCCCCAGAATTCAAAATGGTATCAAAGGAGGCAAATATACTAGATTTCTGAATTCAAATCCCAAGTATAACACAACATGTTCATGTGACCTCTGACGGTGCAACTGCTGCAGAGGGTAGTATCCATCAACCTCACAGGATGTGTGGTAAGACTGTAGCTCATGGTCTATACCATCGTATGACTATTTTTATTTAGTTGTGTGTGTTCAATGGCAAGTTTAACAAGCACTACAGCAAGAAGGTCATAGTTTCTCTCCTATACTCACCATGGTAAGGCTGGTCACAAAGGCCTTCCTTGGAGCTTCCCTTCTTCCAGACATCAGATGTATTTGTACTGGCTATGGCATAACCATCCTTCAGAACCAGCCTGTACTGGGCAGCACTGTACAGAGAGTATTGCTCACATTTCCACCACAGCATGGCGTTGGAGTCACAGCTGAACATCCTTAAGGAATCTGTGGTTTTGGTAATATCTAGGCCAAGGCACTTCTGGGATTGCAGATGAAAGAGCCGGTGCTGGGATACCCATTTCCATAACATGCTGCTACTTTCATCACAGTCCTGTGCTACTATCCAATCAGCCAGTGGCTGGATGCACTTGCCTGTTTCTTCATTGAGGATGGTGAATGGATCGTTACCTAAGTCAAGACAGTGAAGGAAGATATTTCAGGACTCTAAGGCATGTGGTTAATGTGTCCTACTCCTGCTTGCTAAGAAGAATCTGAGTATCACTGGTCTGTTCTCACCCCTGGGGCTTGTTAAACTCTAATGTCCTACACAGAAGGAAGGCAGTGAAGGCCACAGTGTGTGGTAAGAGGGTGGGCTCTGGAGCCAGTCTGAGCTCATGTTTTACCTCTGATGTTATCTATTAGTTAAGAGATCTGGGAAAATTATTTAACCTCTGTGCTTTGGTCTTCTTATAAGTAATGCAGGACCTACTTCACACCATGGATGTGTTGATGGAATGAACTAATCCATGTAGTGCACTGAGAATAGACGCATATTTACACATGCATATTTGCAGATCTATGAAAGATCGCCTACCCTGCTTACAAGGGTAAAGGAGCTCTTTAGGTTTCACTTTACTTAGACATGTGGCCAATGAAAAGTATCCTGAGTTGGGGCTGGAGATATGACTCAACAGTTAAGAGCACTTGTTGCTCTTGCAGAGGACCTGGGTTCAGTCCCCAGCACTGACATGGCAGATAATAACCATTCATAACTCCAGTTCCAGGGAATCAGAACACTCATACACAGAAAATAAAAATAAATAAATCAGTCAGGTGTTGTGGCACACATCTTTAATCTCAGCACTCAGAAAGGCAGAGGCAGGCAGATCTCTGTGAGATCAAGGTCAGCTTGGTCTATATAGCAATTCCAAGCCAGCTAGGGCTACAGGGAGACCCTATCTCAAAAAAAAAAAAAAAAGAAAGAAAGAAAGAAAAATAGAAAACTATCCTGAGTCTTTGTGGAACCACACTTCTGTCTTGCAGTTTTAGCTACCAGGCCACAGAGAGTCATAACATGAGAAATCAATGCTCTACTCTCATTCCATGCTTTTTCTTCTTCACCAGTTGGGAAAGCAAGCCCCTAGGCTCTGCCTTTGGGCAAGTTACTGTGGCCATGCAAAAGGAGAATTTGCTAAAAGATCACTTCCCTTGAACCTTTTGTGGAAGCCTGACTCATTGAGGTATGTTGGTAGAGATGAGGAAGACTTCTGAGAAGGCAGAGATAGAGAACTTAGGTAAAGAATGGGAAGAAATAGAGGGTCTGGGCTCTAAGTGTGGCCAACCTGTGGCCAGCCCCACTGCAACATCTCTAGCAGGGAGGGAGGCTAGGGATTTGCTATGTGAATCACCTAAAAATGACCTACATCACTAGATACAAGAGACAGCATTTGGACAATAGGAAACTGAGAAGCAACTGGTGGAAGCTACAGACTAAAGATGGGACCTCCCTGACTTCCCCCCTGCACTCTGCAGGAGCTGGGAAAGACCAACAAAGGTGGAAATTGAAGTTGCCTCACTTTGGTGGAATGGGAACTCAGGATCTAATTGATTTTTTAAAAATAAAGTAACTCAACATTTCTTACACACCTAGGTTTGAGGAGCAGGACTCAATCATATTTGTTACAATAAATCACAATTGAACAGTTTGGTCATTTCTTTTACATAGAGAAAAAGTTATAGCATAGATGATCATGTTGATGAGAATAAAGCTGTACTATTTTAGACAAGCTTAAGCAATCATTATCAACGAACCAGAGTTCAGCAGAAGAACCTGAAAAAGTTTGGTTCCCAAAAGGTACTTTCATTTTGATGTCCGTGTCACAGTCACTGGGTTTACTAGCATTAAACACTTTCTCAAGCAACAGCTGTCAGGTTACAGAGTTAAAATGCTCATGCCAGCCACTGGTGGCAAGAGAGGAAATTTCACCATGTAAATTATAACTATAAATTTCTATCTGATTTAATGTGAACTTTTGATGGCATTTTCTGTTGTGTTTTAAGGATCAACAGCAGCAAAACAAACAATGGGAAACAACAACAACAAGGAAAACCTTTAAAGAAGGAAGCTATTTCTGCTTTCAATTTTGAATTTAAAAACATTACAGTCTGGGGAGATGGCTCAGTGGATAAAAGCCTTTGCTGTACTGCAATTATAGATGCTTATGCTAGTGTCCAGCTTTTTTTCCATTTTGTTTTTTGAGACAAGGTCTCCTTGTAGCCCCTGCTGGACTGAAACTTGCTATGTAGACCAGGCTGCTCTCAATCTCACAAAGATTTGCCTGCCTCTTATCTCCTGAGTTCTGGGAGTATATACGTGAGTCGCCACATCTGGCTTTATATGTCTAGATTTTATGTGAGTTCTGGGGATTCCAGTTCAGATCCTCCTACAGGGAGACGAGAGACACAGGCAGGAGAATCTTCAGAAACTCAAGGGCCAGCTAGCTTGGCATAAATGGTGGAGAACAACAAAAGAAACTCTATCTCAAACAAGGTGTAAAGTAAGGACCAATATCTGAGCTTGTCCTCTGACTGCCACAGTGAATTCTGGCAACACACACACACACACACACACACACACACACACACACACACAAAGATGTAAACGTTGCACAAGATGCAGCTAGGTAGGTTTGTATAGCAACATCTGTCCCTCAGTGTTTCTTCTTTGACATCCCTCTGTCATTCTTTCTTTGATGGTTATAGTTTGGGAGGATAGACAGCAAAAAAAGGAAAATTTCTCTAATGTGCTTTTCCCACATATTTAATAGTCCCTCAAATCTGTGATCTAACATTTTTCCACATTACTCTCTGATCTATCAAAAATAAATCTTATGTTCCAAAGTATCAGGAAGTATCACGAGTTACAGCAGAAAAAAGAAGTCTGTTCCATGCGGCCATTTCCCTTGAAACATTTCTCTCGACCACCCGGTAGCATCAGTGCTTTTTTCTGAACACTACTCTGTGACTCTTGACTCCACACAGGTGGCCTGGGCCAGTAGGAACTTTGCCTTCTTTTGCAGTTTGAAGTTCTAAATTTTTCAAGCTCCTGAGTAGACTGCAGTAGCTTAGGTGCAAGCCTTAGTGGGAAGAACAGTGGAACAAGGCATTGGGTTCCTAGATTCAAGGCCTACTTCTGCTAGCAGTTAGCTAGGAGACTTGGGGAAGCCACTTCACCTCCCAGGATCTTCGCATCTCTAAATGTCATATGAAATCAGTGTGGTAGAAGTAAGCCACCTTCAGAGTTAACATCCTGTGCTTTCACCAGATTAACAGTGGCTTAGCTTCCCAGCTTTTACAGGCTTGTGCTAGTCATGGCACATTCTTCTTGAACAGATCGCACAGGCGTGTTAGGTCACATTACTGGACTGCTAGTAGCACTGAGGTCATTCTAATATCATTTATAATGCGTATGTGCAGTTAGATGACAGTCTTGCTTTATGTTCTTTGAAAGAGAGAACGTTTTATTTTTTTCTCATTTTCTACAATCGTGCTACTTCCAGGACACCTGTGGACTTAACAACTTGGTAGGAAAGGGACTATGGGTAAAGTGTGGAGTAGCATGGGATAGCAAAGTTCAGGAGGAGTTGCCAAGTGTCTCAATAAGTTGCAGTATTTTTAAATGTAGGCATTTGCCTCAGACTAAACTTGTGCTTGAACTGAGTATGAAATCAATACCAATGTTTGATATACCAATGTGATCTCTTGGCGTTAATACTCATTATTAATGATTTAAGAAACTTGTTATTAGACTATATGTAATGTGTGTATTATATATGAAGTATTATATATAAGCATTAGCACAGAATACATGAGCTAGGGAGTTTTGTTTTCTCATAATATTTCTTTCCATATAATTTTTTATGCCTCGCAATAGTTATTTGTTTGGCCTTGGTTTTGTGACATCATTGGGATGGTAACCTGGAGTGGGATGGAAAGCTGGGAAAGCAAAAACCATTTCTTATTTAGAAAAAAAAAATGCTACTTAAGCACATACAAACTAATTTTAGAAATGTATTGTACTTTGAAATGGTAATTACAAAGCAACTTTGTTGTTTTAGTTTCTTGATACAGGGTCTCCCTGTAGCCCCAATTGGCCTGGAACTCGCTATGTAAACCAGGATGGCTTCTGTCCTAGTTTGTTTCTGCATTGCTGTGACAAAATACTCTGACCACAACCAACTTGGGGAGGAAAGGGTTTATTTAGCTTACATATCCTGGGTTACAGTTCATCCAGGAGCCCAAGGTAAGAACTCAGGGCAGGAACCTGGAGGCAGGAGCTGAAACACAGGCCATGGAGGAACGCTGCTTACTGGCTTGCTCTCTGGCCCCTGTTCAGCCTGATTTCTTATGCAACACAGGCCCACCTGCCCAGGGGTGGCACCACCCACAGTGGGCTGGACCCTCCCACATCACTCATCAAGAAGATGCCCTTTAGACATGGCCGAAGGCCAGTCTAATAGAGGTAATTCCCCAATCAAGGCTCCCTCAACCCAGGTGTGTCAAGTTGACACTAAAGCTATCCAGCACAGATTCCATCTCACAGAGATCTACCTGACTTTCCCTCTTGAGCACTGGAATTAAAGGCATGTGCCATCATGTCCAGCTTACAAAGCAACTATTTTTTTTTGGTGCTGCACATCAAACCTAGCACCTTGAACAAGCTAGGCAAATCCCCTAGCACTGAGATCTAGTCCCAGCCTAGAACGAGACTTTATCTATAGTGTTATATGGCATCTGGTTCATTTTACAACTTTATACCAGTCTTCATTGGGGTTTTCATATTTTCCTTCAAATAGGCATTTGGGACAAATCTAGAGACAGAGGTAGATGACAAGAAGCCTACCCACCTCTTGGAGCATTTTTAATATGCCTCATTTTGTATAAATACTCTAGTGAGGTTTAACAGAAAATACATAAAGAGCATTGTCATCGATTGAAAATGAATTTTTATCATTCTTACATCTATCAAAGAAAACGATCTCTTTCAATGTTTTCTTATTGTCTAATCATAAAGACCTGCCTTTTAAGTGCTATGCCAAGGCGTTGTTCAGAATGTCCAGGAGGGAAGCTGGGTATGAGCATGTCATAACCACAGACTCATAGAAGGGAAATGGTGTGGGGAGATGGGAGGATGAAGATGGCTGCACTGATAGTTTCCAGGAAGCTTCCACAGCTTACTTTGCCAAGTGTTCTGTGGTCTCTGCCAAGTGTACAGAATGTATGGGTACTGAAGGAGAGAGTCAGAGGTCTTGGTTTGCTAGTTTGGAAACAGGTTTCGAAGCATGGCTGAAGAGATGGCTCAGTGGTTAAGAGCATTGTTCTTGCAGAAGACTCAGGTTCAAATCCCAGTACCCACATGGCAGCTAACAACTGTCTGCAACTCCGCTTCCAGGGGAATTAGATGCCCTCTTCTGTCTTAGGTGGGCACTGCATGACACAGGTGTGCTTACATACATGCAGGCATAACACTTATATACAAAAACAAATTTTAAAAAATTTATAAAAAGAAAAGTAAAACAGGTCCCAAAGAGACAGTTGGGTTCATGACAGAAGAGTAGGCATCTGAAAGTCAGAGTCCAGATCGATTGGTGTGGGCTGGTGAGAACTTCAGAAGTCCCAAGGATCATATCACTTCAAGCTGTTAGCTCTCCAAGGAAGCAAAAAAGTAAACTAGGCACTTGGCGTTTCCCCAAGGACACAGAGATGCTCCTCCAGCATTTGGGTGGCCAAGACCATCTGCTCAAGCTTGTTGCACACATGTGACAAAGTGCATGCCATTGCTAGCATCCCGAAGCTGACCCACTGCCAAACAAGCTACTCAAATGGCTGGATGTTCAAACTCCACTGCTGGGATAGGGAGATGGATTAATGGGTAATGGCGCTTACTGCTCAAGCATGAGAATCTTGAGTTTGAATCCTCAGCATCCATTAAAAAAAAAAAAAAAAAAAGCCAAGCATAGCCCCACATTCCTGTAACTCCAGAGTTGGTGGGTGGAGACAGGCAGATAGATGCCAGGAACTCAATGGCCAGCCAGCCTTGTCAAAATGGTGAGCTTCGGGTTCAGCGAGAGACCCTGTCTCAAGAGAAAAGAGCAGAGAGTGGCTTCCACACATGCATGTACCACACACACACACACACACACACATACACACACACACACATCCCCAAAAGTAACTCTCCAATGTTTTCCTTAATACTGACACAAGCTTGGTGTGAGAAGCTTGCTCAGGGCAGATACCTGTGGGGACCTGGTCCAGGGGAATAGACAGACTTAAGCCTGAGCTCTTAGCCTGAGGTCAGTGAGAGAGAACAGGGACTGTGGAGACTGAGAATTAATGAAGTCTTGAAATTTGTGGAGGAAACAATAGGCAGCCAGGATGGAAACCAAGAAGGAGGTGATTGGAAAGTTAGCGTGCTTTTGTGGCAGTGAGATTTTTCTCCTTAGACTGTAGGACAGGCAGAATGGAATTCTAATAGCAGTGAAAGATTTTACTTTCAAATCTTCTTGGAAGGTTCCCAGCACAGAGGGTCAAAAGAGAATGGAGAAGAGTGAGTCAGGATAGGGTGCACTGAAGATCTTTGGTGAATACAAGGTGATGCCACCCATCCTCCCAGAAACCTCTTTACATCACTCTGAAGACTGTACATCACAGCAACTAAGCTTAGTTGCAAAGAAAGTTGAGTCACACTCAATGTTTTCTCAAAACCATCTAGACAATTTTTTCCCTTGCCTTTTCACAGGCAAGATGACAGTAGTGGGTGGGTGGAGGCTGCCCAGAGTGCCAGTTACACAGTCCGACCAAGCAACGATGTCCTTGGCACACCTGTTTTGCTGAGGCAAAAACAGAAAGTAAAAGCATAATCTGGCAGCTACGTGTAATGGTGGGCAGGCACCAACCACCCTGAGCTTTAGCATAGGGCAGCAGCTTCACAGAGACCTGTGCATTTGCGTGGGATTGTCAGCATGGAGGGAAGGAGGGGGGCATCGTGCTAATAACCAAATTAGAACACTGCTCTAGGTGGCGGGG